ACAGAATTAATTTTAACAAATTTAAGGCAAAAGCGCAGCTTACTACGCAAGCTAAAAACAATTCATGGCAGAAGTTTGTATCGGAAATAGATAACACAACTAGCTCCAAGGAAATCTGGCAGAAAATTAACAAAATTTGTGGTACTCCGCAGAGCACTTTTATTAAACACTTAAAAGTACAAAATATAGTATCCCAAGATGAAGATATTGCAAACGTTCTAGCGGATTTTTACCAAAGCCTCTCAAACGACAAAAATCCACGTGCAGATTCTACAAATTCATCATCTGATACCTATACTCTTCCTAATAATGAAAATCCTAACGTAGCAATTAATAGTCGCATTACATTTCAAGAACTTAATTCAGCACTTTCAAGCCTTAAAGAGTCTTGTCCTGGACCAGATGATATCCCAACCATATTTCTAAAAGGAAATATTTTTCCTCCTTTGTCCCTTAAAAGAGGAATTATCCTCTTTTAAAGGACAAAAAATCGCGATATAGTGTGGAATCATACAGGCCAATCTCAATTACTTGTTCCATGTACAAACTTTTAGAAAAAATCGTTAACACTAGATTAATGTGGACATTGAAACAAAATCGATTACTGATTACTAAGAAAATACTCAAAAGCGATATTATGGAATCGTTTGCAACTAATAGAAAATGTACCGCGATATGTTTTTACTTAAAAAATGCCTTTAAACTGCCAGAAAATACAGCGCTGTATGAGTGAAATCTCCGGGGACACTGTTTATCGGTCATCAACAATTTTTTAACCAATCGGACTTTTCGGGTAAGAGTTTCCAATTCGTGCTCGAAAACTCACTGCTTGACAAATGGAGTACCACAAGGGTCTGTTCTTAGCCCAACACTCTTCCTAATCGTCATTAACGATATTTTGAAAAACATAGAAAAACCTTTAAAAGCGCGGATTTATGCTGACGATTTAGTGATGATTTAGCTGACATCGCTTATTGTTCTGCCAGAAAGTCTATTTTAAAATCTCTAGAAACAATTCATAATTAATGGTCTAAGGATCGCACTACGAGCATTTAGAAGTACACAGATAACAGAAAAGTTCGGAGAAGAGAAGCAGGTGCTCCAGATAACTGTAAGTGCCTTTCCTTTCATAAATTTGTGAGGAGAGATAGATTAATTTTTGAATTTTTGAATAAGAATACTGATACTTTTTATCCATTTTGATACATATTTATGCAATTGAAAATATTTATTTTTATTGAATAATTTTTTTGAAATCTTTGAAAAATATTTGTCTTGCATATCGTCGGTCCAATTCCAAAACCGCGAATGTGCCAAATTGCCCATTTCCAGTTTATATTATCAGCGTCTGTAATTATATTTATAGTATACGGTGACAGAAGCACGAAAGTGTTGACCTATCCCCTCTGCGCCCCTCAACTGGAACGCATTCCATGAAAGCGTCAGTTGGAGATTTACTATCATGCCGAAAAGACGAACGTATCACGTTCGTGCTTTTGGCGTTGCAAGGTATTTTACTATTTAAGATCCAAATTAACGAGTGTGCTACATTCGTTGTATTGGCAGTGTGAATAATTAAGTTTCAAGGTATTCGTGAATTTAATGATATTGTTGAAAAATGACTTCAAGGATAGCCAGAATAATGAAAAAGTGCCGAGAATTAAAAGATCAAGGTAAGTAAATATGTAATAGTAACTCTTATAAAGGCCCGGTCTTTTCATCTCTGGATAAGTAGATATTGGGAAGTTTATCTGACAGATCGGCATGTCTGTAATCTGTTAGATAAACTCCCCGATAACCAGTTTTGTGGCTCATAGATTAGTGGGTTTTAAAATTTTAAGTTGTCATAACTTTGTTCATAATAAATATATTTTATTTAAATATTTGACATAGCTATTTAAATACACACATTTTCTGTAAATCCCTAGTTTATGTTTTTTTCTTTATCTATTTTCAGATGATCTATTTAACGAAGTTCCTTTAAGAACCACCATCGAGCATCCAGATATACTACAGTGCAATGCAATACAAAATATAAATACATACATAGGTAAGAAAAAAATTAAAATCCTATTACTCCTATACAAATTGTTTTCAGTCATTGTCGTGACAAAAAATAAAAAAAACTTAAAAGGTATGTATTGTTCTGAAGCTATTTTCTTGTGGCATTTTAAATTAATTACTATTTAACTGGCAAATAAGCCACAATTAAAGGTAAAAATACGTTTATTGACGTTTTAATTTCCACTTCGGAAATCGTTCTCAAAATACATTCCAAAATACGCATCCCATTGAACATAAGGTTCAATGGAATAACTCAAATGTAGTCCTAACAGAAACGGATGGTAAAAAAAGAAAAATCAAAGAAGCGGCTCTAATTATGCTAAATGAGACCAATTGTGTTGCAAATTCCTCGG